GCTATCTAAATTCCTTTGTAACTGATCGTTCTTACACCAACTGCAAAGAAATGGAGGGAAAAAAGAAAAGAAAAGAAAAGAAAAGAAAAGAAGAAGAAGAAGATAGAGAGTCAGAGAGAGCAAGAAGATGAAGAAAAGGAAGGTGTTTTTTTTGGCGGGGGAGAGAAGGAAGGTGGAACAAAAAGTCTGAGAACAGTACATTATGTGCATGCAAAGTTGATTTGAAACGAAAAAAAAAAAAAAAAACCGCAGTCGTCAAGTTCTAATTAACTCAAGTAATTGGATACAGTGCATTTTCTGAGACATAAGAGGTGAAGTTTCTGATTTTTGTGATTGGCTTCCTAACAAACAGCGAAAGTATTTGTTTGGCCAAAGAAGCTTTCAGAATTTCCGAGCTTGTTTAAAGTTGATATATAGGTGATTGTCAAAGCAAAAGTTGCTTAGGAGATTAAATGTTGCCAAGCGTTTTTCTGAAATCCGAAGAGATATTGAATAAGAGGTTAGGAAGTTATGTGTCTGAAACTTTCGAAATCACCCCACCTGTAGATACGCATTACCGTGGATTAATGCATTTAACATATGGGTACTATCGCAAGTAAATTACGCTGACACTTTTCAATGTACAACACAAATTTCACGAGTCAGTTTTCGCTTCATGGACGTACTTAATTAGCTTCGGGATCAATGTAGTTACTAATCAAGTAGGGTATTCTTCCTAGTAGCACCGGAAATCAGGTGACTAGATGAGCATATAGCATCTCAAAAAATTTTCCCCCTCACAAAGTTCATATCCAATTGCCTCCATCGTTGAAAAAGCAAGCACCCGGCGTAGCATCTGTCCTCTCTTTTATGGACAAAAAGATACGTGCATGATTGTATGTGATAAAACTGCTGAATAGTAATTGGATAAATTAGCATATGTTTCTTGAATTGCTGAGTGACTGGTAAGTACTATGTATACGATACGACAATAGATCATCATATAATATAGTAAATTAGTGCTGCATAATTACAAGAACATTTCTCAGGTAACGTGGTTCTGCAGATGTTGACCTTTCGTCCTTTGGATTCGTGTAAAATACAGTACATGCGGAATCTCTCTATTCTGTGACTTGCATAAATAAAAGTCAGGTCACTCTCCTGTAGTTCAAAAATATTCACAAAATCCCGTCGTAATTTTCAGCTAATGTGACTTAAGAAGAAGTGGGAATTATGTTTATTTGTAAAAACATGCTTACTTCTGTAAGACAATGTACTGGAACAAGAAGAAGTGGCAGGAGATGAGTGATAAGGGGGGTTGTTGTGGTGGTGGAAATGAGAATGGTGAAGAAAAATGGTAGTAGAAGAGGAAAATGAGCGTACGTATTTTTTGGGCTTACAAAATTAGGATTGAGGTAGAGAAGAATTGAGAGAATGACATGTGGATTAGTGAGTAATTAATAATTACACATCATAGTGAATAAAAAGAAAAAATACAAGGTTTCTCAACAATTAAGCAACTCTCACCTTTCTTTTTTAAAAAAAAAAAAAAAAATTTACTATTTTGTTTTTGGGGGGAGAACTGAGAAGGAAACCTCCAATCCATTAGGGGTATTTTGTCTTCGTACTCCCGACATAGATCCTACCAATCAGGCATATTGACGACTCTCGAGATTCAGTCCGACAAAACAGCTTATTTATTTATTTATTTTTGTATCTTTAAAGTGTGTCGTACACGTTTGTGGAAAATCCTTCAACTTCTTTTTCTTGACACATTTTTAGTTCCATAACTCAAGCACAACCCTCATTTTTTCTAAAATCTTAAAATCACATGTACAGATTTCAAATTTTAATTTTATTAAATGCACCCTAAAATCTTAAAAGGAAAATCCTCGCAGTCAGTCTGGCGTAATATTTCATGCGATCGATCATTGCAAGCGCAAAGGTGCGGCTAGAATTGAATTCCTACCACAACTACTACTATATGAGGCGAGTGTCGGCCAATCCTCCTCCTGTGCAAATTAATTATAGAAGAGCAATACAAGTACGCAATGGAATGGATTGACGATGATATATCATCTGTAAAATTATACTATGACCTAAATCATAACTTGAATTATATGGCCATTGGCATCCAAAACCCTCACCATACATATATACGTATGATGCCAATGGCCAGGAAGTGGGGGAGTAGCAGTACTCGTGTTCGTGTATTATTGGGGACGTCAACGCACGGCCACTGCCCCGTATACAGCAACTGCAGGAGCCGACAAAGACGCAGACAGAAGAAGAAGATCTTCAAGAATCCAAGTGCACAGTACAAAGTAGATGATGAACAGCGTACCATCCAGTCCACACGTGTGATGAAATTTAACGTAGTTGGCTTGTCTGTCTGTGTCCGTCCATTCGTCTTCTTCTTGCATACTATGATAGTATTATTTACTCTATCTAGAGTCTAGACCAGACGAAGACAAATTAAAGCTAGGTATCTATAGGCACCAGAGGATCACTCTTTGCCGCATGTAAACCGGTGGCCAATGGACTCCTCGAGACCACTGCTCACATGACTCCTATCCTAAAGGCAAGTGTCATGACCCCCAAGTGTACTGTAATTTACATAATGGGTGGGCAATCATACGATAAAAAAAAAAAAAAAAGGAAGAGCTTTTGAAAGTCAGTACTTGATAATAATAATTGGTGGTTAATGAAAGCTTATGAAATTCATCATAAACTTAGCTGATGAGACAAGAAAGACATATCTTTCACTTAGATTTTACGGAGCAGAGGGCGAGGAAATTGGCGATCGCAATCTTGCCATACGTTTCGTCATATTAGACTTGAAGGCGACCGCCCAACAATATAAAAACCTATTATTGCTACTGACGGTTAGGGTTGCAAACGAGCCGAGCCGAGTCGAGCTTTAAGCTAATCGAGTCGAGTCTCGACTAAATTTTACCAAACTCGAACTCGAGCTCGACGAGCCGGCAATTTTCAAGCTCGAGCTCGACTCGAATCAAGTCGAGCCGAGCTCGAGTCGAGCTCGAGCTCGAAAAAAATAAAAAATAATTATTTTATTTTTAAAAAAATAAATAAAATAATATTTTTTTCTTAATAAAGAATAAAATATTAAGGATATATACGTAATTTTACTATGAAAATAAAAAATAAAAAATAAAAAAATATAATATACGTAATTTTATTATTAAATAAAAATAAAAAAAAAATATATATATATATATATACTCAAGCTCACGAGCCGTGAGCTGGCTCGCGAGCTAACGAGCTTAATATTCTGAGCTCGAGTTCGAGCTGGCTCGAGCTTGACTCGAGCCGCTCGCGAGCGGCTCGCGAACGGCTCGATTCGTTTGCAGCCCTACTGACGGCTTCTTATTATCTTTAAATAAAGTTCATGTCATCCAATTCATATATAGAAGTAGCCCCGGGGTCGGCTCGGTTGGTATTGGATTTGCCTAGTTAGATCCCATGTCTGTGGTCAGAGAGCTCGACTCCTCGTACCGTCTCGAGTCTCTCGGGGGGCGGGGGTTCAGGCACAATGAAATTAGTCGGGCCGAAGGCTCGACACCCACTGTGTTGAAAAAAAAAAGAAAAAACGAATTCATATATAGAAGTAAGTATCAGCTAACAGTACCAGTATAGTACTTTTTCCCCTTTTTTCTTCTTCTTCTTCTTCTTCTTCTTCTTCTTTTTTTTAAAAAAAAATTTGTTCTCCTTTCATTTTTCATTTGAAGAGCTGAAAAAATATTATTATTGTCGTGGTGCGCTTTTTCCCCTGTCTAAACCTGATGTGTATGTCTTTTTCTGGAATCTGTTATTTAATCTTCAAGTGAGCAAATGCAAGTCATTTACTAGAAAAAAGAAAAATAAATATTTTTTTTTTAAAAAAGAGTATCATTAAGTTGGTAGTAGATGTTTTTCTCATGTGACATTCTGGCGGTGCGTGCATCATTGATAGATAGATTCTCTTATAAGAGTTGGATGAAACAACAAATCTATATGTCCTGAATTAAGTAGATAATCAGGGGAGAAATTTTCGTAATGCGGCCATCATTTCAATCAATTCAAACACAAGCAATAATAAATAAGTCACGTCTTTACATCTGGAAGACGGTAGCTAGAGAGGCCCATCATCCAATAGAAGCCCGTTTAGATTTCTCATGTCATGGCCCCACCGGAGCTACAATACAACTTCAAGGCGCGTGAACATTTTTTGTAAATTTTCCGGCGTTTTTCTTAATTAGAGAGACATAACCAGGAAGAGAAAATGAGAGTTCAATTAAATTCACCTTCCAAGACGATAAACTTAAGGTCTAACCTCTAGCTCTTGGGTGACATTGGATTCTTAAACTTGTTGTAACTTGGAAAAGAAAATTAAGGTTAAGTGTGTCTTGCAAATGAAACAAGCCTAAAATTTAATTACAAGTTTCCTGTTAGTAATTACTTCTTTAAGATTTAGTCGAGTGCCAATATAGTCGCTTTCCCAACCCTTAAATTTATCAGTCTTATCTGATTTGAAAACCATTTTCTGAGTTATAGTCCGTTGCTGAGCCTATTCCTTAATTAGACGAGGGGGTAGCCCCCATGCATGCATGCCTGCCTGGAGGCGATCATTTGCTTGACACAGATTAATTGCAGACTACAATTGCTTGTGGTGGTGCTGTCCGTTCCGTTCCTCCTCCAGCTGCTAATAACAAGGCACTTTTGTGCTGGATCAAGAATTGTACTTGTTATTAGACCTTTCTCCTGTCTTCCTTTAAAAGCGAAAATCAAGGGCTATTCAAGACTCGCATTGCTGCCTTCGTACGTTACTCTTTTTTCCTTTTTTTTTTTGGGTCCTCCGTCACTTTCCTTTTTTCGATCAAACCTAATTCAGTGTTTAAAATTTTTGGGCTATGAAGAGTAACAAAATCTGTAACTTTAAAAAATTGTATTGTCTGTGGTGTTACTAACTTACTACTATAACTCATCAGATTGAATACTAGTATGTATGTAACTGTAGAGAATAATTAGGAATTTATGAACGCTTGTATCAGAGCTTCATATCAAACCAAAACATCCGTTTATGTTTGGACACTCCCATCCATTACTAATACACATCAAAAGAAAATAAAGTCGTAAAAAAGATTGGACACCTCCTCCAAACAGGCACTTACGTACGGGTAATCAGTAATGGAATGGAACCCTACCATTCAAATCCTTGCTTTGAAACATTTCTAACATATCTCCCATCACCACTCTTTACTGATGCATTTCCGGGAAAGAAGTCATAACCACCCGGCTCATGGTACCCAATATTCTCAACAGCTCCAACAGTTTTGAACAATCGCCTTCTGTTGATCTCCTCCACGAGGGATCGGTGCAGCAATTGGCTCCGAATATCTACTAGCGATCGAACCCTTGGCATCCCTAGATTGCGATCATCATCGGTGCAATATTTGCTCATGTTGTTTTGATCAGGACAGAACCTTGTTGTCCATTTGCTGCTGCCAGTAGTAGTGGTAGCAGTGCCCATGAATATTTGTGGCTCTCCAGTTTTGGAACTGAATGTGGAACCATTCATTTCGCGGTCTGAGAAATAAGACAAGTTGGAGAGTTTGTTCGAGTTGAAAGAGCTTTGAGAACTACTGGCATCATCATAGTTACTCAAGTCCTCTGCACCCACAGGGCCACATACATTGCAGTTACTATCGATGAAATGAATTTGGAGGATAACATTAATACATATAAGAATAATAATAATAGTGATCATGAAGATTTTCAACATTTATATATATATATATATATATATATGTATGTATGTATGTATGTACATAGACACACACACACATTACCTTGAATCCAGTCAGGGAGGCCAGAAGGGAAAAGACCAGGGAGAGATGCCTGGGAGGAAGAATGTTGGGAGGAAAGAGAATAAAATGGTGGGAGCGTGCTGTGGTGGTCGTCGTCATCCTCTTGGTCATATCTGAAAGAATGCTGCCGCTGCTGATGGAAACCCCGTGGGCATCCCTTCCAGGACGGAACCAAAGCGGAGATCTCCTCGTCAATCATCTCAGCAATCTCAATTGGTTTCCAATCTGTTATCTCTAATTCCTTTACCATCTCTCCTGCTACATCCATTGCCGTGTCGCTGGAAATATCGAATGGGAAGTATATGTTTCTAGCTTGACCTACGTCAGACATTGGACATCTCCAGCATTCTTAGAATGTCGCAAGAATTAAATCATAAATACATAAATGCTTCAATTTTCTAAAGCTTCTAACCACATGATTCAGCCCCCATTAAAAATGTTTTTTGTTTCTCTTTTTCCTATGCCTGCTGATGAATCTCAAGTAGTACGTCAATTTGAAGGCGAGAAATGAAAGCGGGATTGAGTGATTGATTACCATCCTTGTCAGAGATTTGTACTTTGAGAAAGATGCTGTCATCTTTTGGGTTCAAGGTCCCAGTAATCGTCATGTTGGTGCTCCTTTTCTGATCACAAAAAGTCGATGGCATTTGCAGCACTTCTTCTCGTCTGCGTGGACTACAGGGCATCAAACACGGTATTCCTGTGATCTCCAGCAGCTCGTCTTCTCGATCATAAGCAAGAAATGGATCTCTCAAGAGTTCAAGTGCAGATGGCCTTTTGGAAGCCGTCTCCAAGCATTTCCCTATGAACCTCCGGGCTTCGGGATCATGAATCCGGTAGAATGCACCTGGAAGCTTTCCCTTTTAAATTTGGATCGTTCGTGTTAAAAGGTAAAGACAGCGAGCACGTTAACGAGGGTCAGATTCGGTTTCCAGTGATCAGCTTATTAATTACTATAATGGGATGCGGTACGGGAAAAACACGAACATATTAATTCTTGTGGAGCCAATCCAAAACTTACCGAAGTGACTTTCTTATATATTTGAGCTGGATTGGAGCACTCGCTGTAGGGATACTCAGAAGTGAGCATCTCCAACATGCACATCCCAAACGAGTAGACGTCCACTAGCTCGTCGTAATCTTCTTCGTATAATTCAGGTGCCATGAACTCGGGTGTACCTGATCATCACACGCATTTATATACATATATGGCGTTTTGATAATCACCAGGTTTAGTATACTATTATCAAAGAGGAGATTAAAGAAAATTTTGCCTATGACGCTGTGCGCGTGATGGGAGCCACGAAGTATGGCTGCCAACCCAAGATCACCAATCTTGACCCGGCCAAGATGGCCGTTGACGAAGATGTTGTCGCATTTGAGATCTCTATGGATCACCGGGGGATCATGACCATGCAGATAAGCAAGGCCTTCCAGGATTTGGCGACCCCAGTTCTTTACTGCTTGCATGTTTACTCGCTTGTGCTTGTGTCTGTACCTGTACAAAATTAATATCAACCCCCAGATCGATCCAATTAAGTCGGTTCTTTTAAGTGTACGGACTGCTACTAGTCGACATAATTGGAACTGAAGATAATGAAATATAGCTGCCCCAAAATCTGACCAATTCCAAAGTTACAATCTCAGAATCAGCCTGTTAATTCTCTACTACTCTGGGTTGAAGAATCATCATTAATACAAGTACTAGAGCAGATTTGAAGTACATATTTTAACAAAACAACACCAGTATAGATAGAGAAATATATATATATATATATATATACATGTATACAATTTTGTTGGCCAGATTTTGATTGGGAAAATATGAAGAATAAATTGAAGCCAGCAAGTTAACCAAGGAGGAAATAGAATTTAATTAGGTTTAGGCGGGGTGGAGGCGAGGAGAGGAAATTAAATTACTCTCTGAGGGAGCCAGAGGTAAACATTTCGGTGATGAAGTTGAAAGTTCTGCGGTGAACATCGATCCAAGAAGCGTGGAATCGCATGATGGAAGGGTGATCCAGATTCTTGAGGAGGTGTACTTCGGAATAAAGCCGCTGCAGCTCTTGAGGTGACCTGAAGACGTCGTTGAGCTTCACCTGGTTCCAAGCCACCTCCATTCCCAGGGCCTCATCGAATGCTCTGTACACCGTTTTCATGGCTCCTTTACCCAGAATTTCTCTAAACTGCATGCCAATCATAAATCCAACAAACATCAATTTATCCATCTAATTAGCAATCAATTATGCCGTCTATCACTACTGGCGGCCTCGGCCTCGCCCTCGCCCTCGCTAATAATGCGCGCATACTTTCATATATACATAGGAAATTCTTTGGAAACTGTAAAAGCATGCACGGGGCATGTACGTATGTGCTGCTGCTAATAAAGTGGAAGAAATGAATGATACCCTTCCAATTCAGATTCCAGTGTGCAAGTAAGAAGCATCAGCATTCACCAGAGAAAAAATTAAAACGAAAGCGCTTAAATAGTGACCATGGAACTGAAATCAGATTACTTACGCGACCATATCGTCCGGTGCCGGATGGATCCACTTCTGCGTACGCGGCAGGCGACTGGGCATCAAGAATTGGTGGTTCCACCAACCGTGACTTGAGCATGGTTATTAGACTAGATAACAGTACAAAGGATCAATCTTCTAATGTTATTGGGAATCTGTACGTATAGTAGGTTGCAATCTAGAGTACGTCGTAATTTGAAATATTGACAGATGCTTTGCCTTTTTTTGGTTTTTTTGGGAAAAGAAAGGCAGGCGGGTGCTAGATGATCCGTGGTTTTCCTTCGTGATTTTCATAAGAGAAGACGCCAAACAGCAGCCAAAACAGCCTGGAGTAATCAATTCTCAGCATAATCCAAGCCATACCTACCACTCGATCTCGTGAAAACTCGTATTCCTGACAGAACATTTGCTCGCTGGCTTGCCTTCTGGGGAGCGAGATACGTGTATATCTAAGAAATAATCAGAAAGTTCAAAAGAAAAGGAGGGGCAATGATCAGTTGAGTGCAACACACTGTTACAGGTGGGATCTAACGCAACGGGGGGTCCGGACAGGGAGAACAGATGTTACTAGTATGTTGGTGCACTAGCAATAATAATTAGTTGGACGATGGATGCCTTCTCGATCGATCTCTTGAGCAGTTGAGTATACCTCCCGCCGCCGCCGGTCTTGAAAATCTTGATTGTAGAAGTAGACTTTAAGAATGGATAGAGTACTTGTAGGTGGATGTTTGTTAAACAGATCGACAAGAGGAGAGGCTGAAAGCTCAATTTCGCTTAAAAACTGAAATGATCGGCAGTGGAGCTTTGGCAAGAAAAAGGGCTAGTATTATTATTATCACTAGTTCTGAATTTGAAAAATCTGTGGCCACGTTTTGGTAGCACCATTTGTGGTTTTGGGTAGCAGAGCAGTTCGGGGGACCGAGATGATCGCCTAAAGCTCAAGAAAGAATCTAAGTAACAGGAGGCAAAGTTAATGGGAGGCCCGAGACGACGAAGAGTTCTGTTTATCTTCTTTTTTTTTTTTTCAATCAGGCTGCGGATGGTCTCAGCTGGTCGATCTATATAACTCAAGAGACTTGCACTTGGAGTGGTAGAAACTATTTTTGCCACCATCATCATCTATCCGCCATCATGCGTTGGACTTTTTTGATAGTAGTAGTAGTACTGCTAACGCCAATATCCCTCTCTTTTCAATTTGGGGGCTCTGAACGTGACTTTATAGTTTTATACTTGTACAACTACCGGCTACCGCACACCCACAACTCGTTCGACTTGGTTTGAAAACTCCATTTATATTTCCTAAACACCCAAGATGGTCAACTGGGCATTAGAACACGTCTCGCGAGCTCGTCTTCTCAATCAAGCTAAAGGATAATAGAGGAGATGCATTTTATAATCTGAAGTTCCTGTGGCCGCTGGACGCTGCCTGTTGGCTTAATTCCATCTCTCAGGTGGAGTTAGTATCATTTACTTGAATGAATTAGATCATTAGTTACCCTTTGGGTTATTAGTACGGGCTGAATTAGAGGCCTCAGCTAATTAACTAACAGCAGTTTGGCTAATGGGTGGCTATTGGGCATTCAATTAGATGAGATAATTAAGAAGGGGCGCTGGGGTTCATGTGTTAGTTTTTCAGAAAAGCTTTGTTAATTCAGGAAAGCGTCATAATTCAAGGAAAGTCCAGGATCCAGTTATTTAGAAAGAAATGTTTTGTTAACTAAGAAAAATATAAGTCTGTGAGTTCGTGTGTTCATTTTGCAGAAAAGTTTTGCCGCCGTCGGAAAAATTCACTAACTAAAAAGTGTTATCAAAACCCTGCAATTATATAATCAATTATAAAAAATGCCATGGCCTACTCTTGGATGGTGCTGTTTTTAATAAGTCGTTGGCTTCTAATCTAATGACGACCGCACGCTCCCTTAGGCCTCAACCACTTCAGATTAATTTTTAATGATGGAATATCATCAAGTCGTTTACTTGAAAGGATGTAGTCTCCATCTGGGCATCCATTGAAGGTTAATTGCTTGAAAGGAAGGATGGTCAGATTTTGACCGGGAAAATATGAAGGATGAGGACGACCATTTCGGTTATGTCGAGAAAATTTCTCCGACGACGCACCTTAAACTGGCATCCATGAATATGATCATCCACCTACAAAAGCAAAATAACTGACGTCTTAATTAATTACAACAAGAATCGGTTGATCTTGTTTCTTGTTGGTCGGTAGTGAATTCTAACAACTTTTAGTATTCATGACTGAAGCCAAGTTCATACCAATAATCCCACTGAATTAAGATCAGTTTAAATATCAATTAATGTGTTTTTTCATATTCTTAGGACGATTTGGTAAAATTGAAAATTAAAATCTGAAATTTAAGTAATAGGGTCTTTAATTTGCTGAAATTAATGTTAAATCTAATCACTTTTTTAAGCAGGAAAGGGTGGGAGTCTTAGTTTGCTAAAATTCAATTACTTGGATTCAAGTTAAATCTTATTGGTTTTTTTATTTTTAAGCAGGGAGGGAGCGGTGGAATGCTATGGTACAAGAACGGGGAGGAGGAAGGGGGAATATGAATCCAAAATCTCTAAATTTTGAGGTTTCAATTTTAGCCATTAAACCAAAAACTCTTCACCAATATTATTAATAACCAACTTATTTCAACCTCCAATCAAAATACTTCATTGTCGCCACCTAACTTAACTAATACGAACATTAGTTAGGTAATAGTGATCCTTGATTTTTGACTCACAAACCCTCTCATCTTTTCTCTTCTCCCCTTGTAAGCTTGGGGAGTCTCCATTTAGATTAAAAAAAAAAATACTTTATTCATGTACATTATATTGCTAATATTAATATTATGTTTTACTATTGTATTTCAAGTATTACTACTTAAGAAATTTGTAGTAAAACAAAACATGCAGCAGAAAATCAGTACTTACCTTTTTGATGTGCTCAACCAAAGGGAAAATATAAAATGAGCTTTAAGAGGTAGAGATGTCTTGCAGTTTCTAAATATTTCTGCCATTCCCAACTAGAAAATATGGAACTAAAACCTCGTTATGACGTCATATTTCACGATGTCAAACGTCATGATTAGTCACAAAAGAGCCAAAGCTGTGCTGGGCGAAAACAAAACCTGAATCAAAAGTATAGTTGGATGAAATAATTCTCAGAATCTACAAACCACCTTTTAAGAAAATTGACTTTCTAAATCACCCCCCAAATAGCAACTAGCCACAGATGCTGCATAGCTCGGGCTCCTCTAATAATTTATCCTTACTGTGGTAACAATTTGACCCCATTCAGACGGACAACGGTGGAAAATCATCCTCATCCTTCAATTGGTATGATAACTCGACTGAAACCCTACAAGTCCAACAACAGGAGATTTTTCAATAATTCCAGCCATGTCCACAAACCTGTGAAACCAGTAAAATAGGAGATTTCTCGTACCTATCACGCTCTGTCTGTAACACAGGTTTCAACTTGCGCATCTCCTTAGTTGGTGATAGAGGGCCGGAATTTTCTGATGAACTAAGACATCTCTGTTGGTGATGCCCGCTTCTGTCCAGCTGATGCACTTCAACTGGTACATGCCCAACTGACCCAATTTCGAAACCACCCTCAGATTGCATGATTAGACCATTAACATTAAGATGTCCTTTTCTGCGAGGGGAATACGACTGATGAATATTTGAAGGCCCAACCTTGGCACCACTTTGGTCAACTGAGACTGGATTTTTTGAAAGATCACGACTACTTTGATCAACCATATTAGTCTCCATAAACATCAGGTTCCTCCCATTGTTGCACGGGGACCTTGGCAATGCCTGATTCCTTCCTTTCCCTGCCAAAGGCCTATAACCTTGAGGGAGTCGATTCTGCAGAGATTGCAAATGGAATCCTTTATTGGACACTGAAAATCACCACTGAGAATGACAAAAAAGAAATGGGTACGGTGATATTGAATTGCTCCTGCTGAGGACTTCAAGCTTACAGATTATGATAATTTAAGTCAGCAAACAAATTTCAAATGCCAAATGCACCAGCAGTAAAATACAGACATACCATATTCGGAAAGTATGTTCCGGTTCCTCGTGGTTTTGGCATGTCTTCCAAGCCAAAAGCCATACCAGGAGTCAAGAGCGGATTTACTGTGCAGAATGGAGGATTTAGGATAACACCATTCACGCTCTTATGAGAGAAACTATTCTGCTTGAATTGTGAAGGGTGCTGGACAGCATCCCATGAATTATTCCACTGAAATATAGAGGGCGGTGGTGGGGACACAGTTAGAGCTGGTGTACTCGAAGCATATTCATAACACCAACGTCCATAATGCAAACAGTTCAAGTGACTGTCCAAATCCCCATTAAGTTCTGACAAAGAGCTAAAAGATTCAGCAATACTCGCACTTTCTGAGGCCAAATCCCTTGTAACATGTTGCAAATTTTCAGGACTCAGAGCCTCTTTTGATGCTAGATGGATAGTAGCTGGATCCTCATCTACACTGACAATGAAATTTTCTTCTAGGCCACACTGATTATTAGCTCCATCAGGTCCGTGTGATACTCCAGGGCAAGCCTTATTTTTACAGTTTTCTATCTTTTCCCAATCTGAACTTCCATTTCCCCTTCCCCCATTAGTCAATATGGAGCTAGAACAAAAAAGACGAGGTGAATGACGAGGTGTACCCGCTGGAGACACACTCTTCCGATCAATTAGCTCAGAAATTTGAGGTAAAGTATTTGAAACTTTGAGGCAATCAACTCTATAGGTAGCAAGGTCCTTTGCATCCCCCGAGATTCGGTGATCCAGAGCATTCCCAACTGCAGGAGAGTCGCAAAAGTTGGAGGGAAGTACTTCAATGATGCCCTCTTCCTCTCCATTTTCTCTGCCACACGTGGTCTCCAGCCCAGATAACTTCAGGCCATTGACTCTGTCATGACATGATCCATTTGTATCTGATGTAGGTTTCACAATAACCCTCTCCACTGCACATGGATCATTCTCTGAAATGGATAATGTGCTACTATAACCGTTATACCTATAATTACAACGAGGACCTTGAACATCAGGTCTCTCTCCACTTCCATGTCTATCCAAAGTGTTGAAGAAAAATTTACAAAGCCCTTCAGCAATGTCATCTTCTGGTTGCAGAAGTATTCGCCCAAGTTTCCTAGCTCCATAAGTGAAAGCACTCCGTATCCGGTAGAAATTTCCTATATGAAGCAGGTAATTAGTTGGTTTCTACACAAAGAACCAAATAATTATCAAGGTATTCCTGTAAAATCTCAACCCAATGTTATTAATCAACTAGAATGGTAGCATTAATGTTTCCCGACAAGTAGACGTAAAAAGCCTATACATCTGTGTCATGATAAGAGTAACTAATAATGGCTTTATACCTTTGCTGACACTTCTACCAAGATTATTGTTTTCCTTAAGGGGGTCAACAATATTAAGATGCTTTGGTTGAAATACACGTAAATTTGAGTCAGCTCCTCTTGAAGGTACTGAGAACATTTCAGTACAGTATCTAAGAAAATCACTGCTGAGAAGTAAATCACAGCCACCATTTTCTGGTGCTTCCACTGAAAAGAGAAACAACCCACTTTGGTTAAACAGAGAAAAACAATACAGAGCAGCCAGTAACAAATGTGATTGCTTACCTACGAGTTCTGGCAATGAGGATAAGCGGACAGGACCGGCCAAACTGATGCAATAATTTTCCCAATCAAACTTGCTAAAGTAGTCCAAGAACTTGAATAAAACCTAGAAAATCAGCAGTCCCAAATTCCAACATGAGGTTAATTTGATGTCAAACATAATCTTAACCACCATTTAACAGCATAAAGGAGCACTCACTGCTAAGGGACCATTAAATGTTGAATGGAAGAGATGGAAGATATACAAGACCAGCGTCTCCAAAGCATATGTGGAAATCAAGCCATGATGAGCACCAAGAATCCGACTTTCATAATAGCACCATGCTTTTATTAGTATAATGCTACGGTTAAAGAGATGCTCTTTGCCAATAACTGAATCAACCTAAGGAAGAAATAGACATAAAATTAAAATATAAAAAGCAACATTCGAACCTGTAAGTTGCAAAAAAAAAAAAAAGTTCATCATAAGAAGGGAATTAAAAGAATATCATCTAATATTTTAGATCAAGTATTCATTGAGATCTCATGGAAGCCAAATATTTCTGAAACCAAGTAGTATCATCATAGGCCTTGAACTGTGAAATGATCTTTCCACAATATCTCTTGGATTTTTTATAAAGTTTAATAACATTATCAAGTTAGCCTATCTTCCTTTCCCAAAACTAAAAATCACAGGACTTGTAATATGACAACATATAAAACATTTAAATTAAATCTTTAGAGAATTAAACATTCATAAAAATCATTCCCCAAGTTCAAATGCTTTGCACAAATTCCTAATGCTCCATCCACTTCCCTTTAAATTACCACATTAATTAAAGAACCCCCAGTACACAGGTTTATCAAGTAGATTCTTTCAAGAATAAAGTAATCAATATTGGAAGGTAACAATTCAATGATTATCCCACTGGAAACAAATGAGTTTAAAGAGAAATTCACCAGCTCAAGAAAGCACAAGGTACAAAGGCCGCCAATTTGATTAAAGGAAATATCAACTACAATATTCTGCACAATGCATTTTACAAGCTTAACCTGCCACAAGAAAAGGAAAGCATTAATAACACACCAGATTAGTACACACTGTTCAAACCTAAGCAGTTAAAACTTTCAAAAGGTTTGCTGCTGAGGATAGAGACAACTTTAAAATATGATTTTCTTGTGAAATTTCTTCTTCAAGGTAAAACTTCCAAAGCTTTTAATGGTAAATAACTTTCAAAGCTTTTACTTATTCACCCAAAAAGTCGTGCTAAAAACAAGTCATAAAAAGTAAGTAGAGGTCAAGCTAAAACTTTTTCACACATAAACTATTATCACACATCATACCAAGAAAATATCATGAAATCGACAAAGAAAGGTGTTAACCTCAGCACGAATAAGTTGGATGTCCTTCACTACAAAATCTGCAGACTTATTTTGATCTTCTCCTTCAAGAACGGAGACCATATCATCAACCAAAATATCATCAGCATTTGTACCACCAAATGCAGTTAAATCAATATCTCCATCAGGAAGATAAGTTTTTAATGGTACAGACCCATAAGGAAATACCTACGCAAAGTTCATATAAGAAATATTAAGAAAAGAATTGCACCACTAAAATGAGGGTAAGAATTGCAGCCAGCATGGCAACATGAAAAAAATGAAAAGATCTGATTTCAATCAATAAAACAACCGCGTCCCACGATATGAACATTTAAGTATAATAGCAGTAATAGCAGTGGTGATCCAATAAATTACTCTTCAGAAAGGGAAATGAAAATACTCACCAATTTAAATTCTTCTAGACAAACTGTGCTACTCATGTTTTACTTCTATCATAAAAAAGATTGAACCTAATTGAGTCAATCAACAAAGCAATTGAACTCGAGATCAACTGTAAATATTTGAGCTTGTAATCTACTTGAGCTCAACTAGAGCCCAATATTTCAAGCTCAGCTCTAGCCCAGTTAGGGGAAATAAAGCTCTTGGCATAAACTCGAAACCTAACTTGACTATCCTGCACATCATCCAGTGCCTTGATTTTAACTCCTAAGGCAGTATGAGGTCAGAACTGCTACTTATATTCATTTGAAAAATTAAATAAACAAAAAAGACAAAAAACAATTAAAAGAAAAACAAGGCTGACCAAAAAAAATGAAGTTTACTATATCAGGTCATATTAGTAAACCAATAGCACATGAGGCATCAAATTTTAAGCATTGTGCTTCATGATCAGTCTCCCATAAATAGTTGGAGTGAGCTTTCTCACTATATAATCACTGAAGGACCAAGGAGGATGGAGCAAAAGGAATAACAATAAAACCTATAGAATTTCCGGCAGTAAATTGGCATCTCATAGCAATGTAATGCTGATTTATAACTCAGACAAACAGTGTCTCCCCTTTAGTTTTTTTTAAGCTCTATAAATTCACAATTCTTATCTTTAGCACCATTTGGCCACCCAACCATTTCAAGCGTCATAATAGAAAGGCCACAAACATTGGGCATAAGTGTAGTTTAATGAGGCAACAATGACATGCATGAGAATCTCAATGCAGCACAAGCTGAGAGGACTGTCCCACCAGTACAAGTGAAAAAATTATATACTAGAATATATATAAAGATTTCGAAGTTGAAAATGCTACATTGCAACAACACATATAGTTAAAACAAGAAAGGGTACATGCCACAATTCAGGGCCAGTTATGGTCAAAACAGCATAATTCAGGGCCAGTTGAATGTCCATGGGCCTATGAATGAAATCCTTGAACAATATTATGTCATACACTTTTCTTTAAAATGCATATTCAAATAAAAGATGTAATTTGACAATTGATAAATGAGAAATCTTCACAAAGCATAACTTCCAGCAAATCGTGTACGCATCTAAGAGATTACTATAGCTCATCTATTCATCCTGCTGTAAGCCAAATACAAGAGAAAACTGCATTCTATCCAATATAAACTACTTCTCTCGAGGATGTATCATTTGTCAGGACTGTGATTTAAAAGACTTCTATCATTACCAAAAGCAAGGTCAAACATTCTCAAAGTGGCGCAACGTGCGGTAGGTTGTCAGCTTCAGACGAAAAACAGAAAAGCTCTCTACCGAGAATGACCCAAAAAATTCTTAACCTTTTCTTCCCATTCACCGACCATTCCTAGCAGTTAACTTTTTTGCAAGCTCATTGAACTATGGTCTCAATTCTAGTATTTGAGTAATTGCCTTGACTATCAAAATTTTAAATGCGAGGGTTAAAATAGAAATAAAGGATATAACTGCAAAGTTTTAAAATTTCTTGGTTCAAGAAAGCTTTGAAGTGTACCAGGCAAATGTCCTTCTCAAGTACATAGGAATAAGGTTGGTGTGCCGGAAACATACCTTTTGCATGATTTTGCCCAATGATGAAACCCCAAAAAAAAAAAGAGAGTGATATACGATAATTAATATGAAAACTCAAGAATCTAACGAGCACAGGTACTCAGGAGACTATGTGCACATGAAGAGATAGTGGCCTTAATGAGCTGGAGAAAGATGTAACCAGAAGGGGAAAAAGGTCATATGTGAAGGCATCCAGCAAAGTGTTCTATTCTCCTCTCGCCAATGAAACATTTAAGAATGAGATATACTGGTCAGAGAAAATTAAAAAAAGCCAGGTAATTCAAAGTGGCATTCAAGTTTAGTCTCAATGTTGACACCACAAGGTGGACATTTAAAATCATGACTCAAAAGCAGTAGCTCTCCACATAGGAAAACCTTGTTACAGGGAGAGTAATGCCTACCCATCAGTCCCTTCACGCAGCAATGGATGCAACAAAAACCAGGATAACTACCCAACTTACTACCAATTCAATTTCCAACCCTTTCACAGGAAAATTAATTATCCCGCGTGTCAGGTCAAGAAACTAACTTCTGAACAATAGCTGGAAGATAAAAGAACCAAAGATATTCACCATTAGGTAAAATGCACATAGTTGATCTTAACATATTCAAGATTGTCCTAAAACAATGACTAGGGGAAAAAAGGAGGAGAAAATAAAAGAACAAAAGAAGAAAATTAATAAACTGACCTCACAACCAAGACGCTTTCTAATCAAGCTCTGAACATAATCTATGACCTCTCTCCTTCTCTCCTCGGAGACGGCAGTGGGCTGAACCTTAGAGATAATGTTTTGGGTGGCTTTCTCAGCTCTGACCCAACGCCTCGCAGAAATGGACAAGGGGTTCGGATCGGACGATGGTATAATTGATGTCGACGGCGAGGGCACCGGTCTCTCTTCCTCTTCCCCTCCTCCGGCTGCTGCTGTTGATGATGATGATCCGCCGCCAGTAGGTGGCCGCCGAAGATCGCCCATCAAATTACTATTATTGGATTGCACTTAATTTGGAATCGAACCCAAAATATGGTAGTTACTAGTATTGCACTTTACTCTATAATAATTAAACCCAAAATACACTAGTATGTGAAATATCAGAAGATCAAAATTAACAACAATAATCAGACTTGATCCAACATGGGTTTGCTCAAACGGGGTGGGTATTGAAAAAAAACTAAAATCAAGCCTAAGCCAAGTGAGAAAAAGGAAAACTTTAAACAAAAAAAAAGGGAAAAAAAAATAACAGAGGGCGAAAAAAAGAGAGATAGTATGCCAACTTTTGTCCCTGTCTATCTGCTCGTTTTTTGTTGTTTGATGGAAGTTTTTTTTTTCTTTTTTCACTTGACCCTAAGGAAAAAAATGTTTTGAGGGAAGTGAACAAACATCCAAAGTAGAACAATAGATGAGAGGTTTTTTTTTTTTAAAGCATAAGTGAAAGATCTCAAAATTCAAGAGTTCTCACTTATATTCCTTTTTACCGTGCCATCCAACCCATCATTCCCCCAAGTATGATATTTTTTTTTGTGCCAAAATTGAATATACTTACTAGCAGAATATATTTGTTTTAAAAGTAATGTTCGAACAATGGTGGTCGGTTCTCTTTATGTGGTACCCTATGTTTTTGAGATTTTTTCAAAAATTATATTATAGTATTGTATCTCAAAAATTTTTCACCGTTATTATATCTTGGCATGATTTTAAAATTTTAAATTTTATTATGATAATTTTTTAAAAAATTTGTTGAATTCCCCTACCACAACCACTCACTATCTCCTTTATCGATCGTACCATGTCTTCTTTTTTTTTTCCCCCTCTTCCTCCCATTCTTTCTCTTCCTTTTCCTCTTTCTCTTTCTCTCCTCCTCTCCCTTCCCTTCTACAGGGATGGGGAAGGGAGAAAGGGATGAAGGAAGAGAGAGAAAAAAGAGGGTCGATGGTAGGGAGGAATGAACGAGGAAAAGAGAAAGAAGAAGAAAGAAAAAAAAAGAAGAAAATTTTTTAGCAAACCTTACGCAAAAAGTTTTTCTATAATTTCTATCATAAGCTCTGATTTATTTATTTATTATTATTATTATGACAAAAATTCTTAACGGCCATTAAATTATTGTTCATGTTGATTTTTGACTATCAAACAATTTTTCATCACAAATTAGCTACTAATTTAACTAACTAGCACACTCGTGCCCATTTCATCGATTATTACTATTTCATAAAGGACGAAGGAGGAGAGAGAAAAAAAATGGTTGATGGTAGGGAGGAAGTAAGGAGGAAGAGAGAAAGAAGAAGAAAGAAAAAAAGAAAAAGAAATTTTTTAGCAAACCTTACCCAAAATTTTTTTCCATAATTTCTATCATAAGCTCTGATTTATTTATTAATTATTATTATTATTATGACAAAAATGTTAGCGGCCATTAAATTATTATTTGTGTCGATTTTTGACCATCAAACAATTTTTCGTTACAGATTAATTACTAAATTAACTAACTAGCATATTCATGGCCATTTCATCAATTGTTGCTCTTAATTTTCAAAATAATCAAAACATTGTTTTGATAAAAAAAAATACCCATGGTGAACAAATATACCCTTATATTTTGACATATGTTCTAATTATTTTGTAGATTAAGAGCACTAATTAAAGAAATGATCACGGGTGTGCTGTTTAGTTAATTTAGTGATTAATTTGTGATGAAAAATTGTTTGATAATTAAAAGTCAATGCAAACATTAATTTAATGGCCGTTGAAAATTTTCACCTTTATTATTATTATTATTTAAGGTATATAAAAGAATTCGAATTCAAGATTTGTTATTTGTACCCCCTTTCCGTGGAAGCACTCAATACATCCGTTTCCTCTAACTCTAAGTTCTGGTTAACAAAGAGCGGGTTGGATGGAATTTTACTTTTAAAAAAGGACAAAATAGTAATTTTAGATAAGAAATAATATAGTAGTTGTGTACTGGATTGTCTAGTGGCTTAATCCCCACTCTTGACTTACCCATGGATCCTATTTGCCGTTTTAATAATTCTTCCTCCTCCTTATCGAGTCATCTTCGTTCCCAGGACAGAGCAACAGATAAATGGAAAAGCGCGGGCAAAAGGCGAAGCAAGTTGTTAGCTTATTGGTAGTGATATCTTGGGTCGGATCATGGCGGGCTCTTGCTTACAGACCCGGCGACATCGTTCCCATGAGCCGCAGGGGCCAATATCATTCCGTCCGTACACTACTTTCACCTCATTCAATAGTCCAGTCCTGTCTCAGATTGGCCAATTTCATTGCAGTAATTATTTTTCTTGAATTTTCTTACTTATTTTGTTTTTCTGGGACTCGGCTTGGGGGCTAAAATTGCAGTCGAGGAGCGTATGGTATGATATGATAGGCCGCCACTGTCCAACCTTTGCGGTCAACCGTGAGGTAATTTTTTGTTCCACGAATTCCCTCTGTTTTTTGTTTTTGTTTGCCCTCTCATGGTTTGATTTGAGCTTAAATAAAGGTTTCTTTGATTTTTGCCGTCTTCTTTATCCTTCTCTAACCCTCGATCCAATACGGGGAAAAGAAAACAGATTTATTGTTATTTATATGAAGTTGCGAGGTATTTGGTTGAAATTGCATATCTGATTTACGTTTTCCTTGTTTTTTGTTGTTCGCGTTGGGTGTAGGCGTTGATACCGATACCAAAACCCACTGGTTATACTGGAGCGGATCCCCACAAAATGTATGTAATGTACTGAAGATGCCACTCTCTGCTTCTTTTCGCACCTAACAATTACTCTCTTCCTCGTCTTACTTTGTTCTTTATAGTCCTTTTAACTGGAGATAGCTGTCAGGAGCAGGGTCTGAACTCTGGTTTAATATATCGTCTTGAACTGTTGAGTGACTGCTTTGGCAATTTATGCTTGGATTTGTTGATACTAGTATCTCTCCTTTTGTTTGGAGGTTTGGTTCATGTAGAGTTCAAAAGTCATTTTTTGGAAGTTACTGATGATTTGTTAGGGGTTAGTTACCATCATCTAACTTGCTACTTCTTTGCTTTCGCTCTCTGGAAAATGCCCTTGTTTCTTCTTGTTTAAAGATCTAATCAGAATTCATACAGCAACGCCATATGCATTTTACGTGCTCTCTCCCATGGATCCAACCTTCGTTCAGTCACTCCTAACAGTTTCCTGATTTTAGTTACATTTAAAATACTTTCACATAATGAAATTTTCAAGGAAATTATGTGAATTTGCGTTGTATTCATTTTGCTTAAATATTCTTCTTTGGTGAGAAGGCAATCTTTTTGTTTTATGTGTTAGTTACAAATTAATTTTCTTGTCCTTTTGAGTCTTGCTTCAGTTATATATGCTACTTTCTCTTTGAGGGACTTCTTCACATGTTGTTATTTTTTTTTTTCCAAACGGCTTCACATGTTGTTAGACCTGTTCATATCATGATCTTTAGTTATTACATTGCAAGTAATTCGCCCTTTCTTATGTTGTATTAGAAAAAGAAAAAGAAAAATGGTGAATAAGTCTTTACTTTTGTTAAGAACAATTTTACATGCAGATCATTTCAAGTTGGGAGGGAAAAATTTTACATCCCATGGCTTTTTTTGATCAATCGAAAGTCTTCTGAGGTTCCAATGATAGATATGCATTTGGTAAGGTCTTGCTTCTTTTGGAATCTTACATTTTTGGATGTTCACTAAGCCCATTGTTGTGAAATGTGAATGGTGGTTCGTGTAGCTTCGATCACTTCTTAAGTTTGCAAAGAACTTACTGCACAAATCATTCATGTGATAGAGGTACTCTTTCATGTCATACAGAGGTATGCAGGGAGCGACTTGCTTGGTGTAACTGCCAAAATTATTGATATGCCTCACAGATGTACGTTATTCTTTCCCTCTCTCTCTCTCTCTCTCTCTTGAGTGGGTGGTTGTTATTTGACTGCGATTTTTTATGTTAAGCTACTATTTCACTAACTGTTACACAGGTTATTTTCTTTGAGTATTTCTACAATCTTCATCTCCCTTAAAGTCTATAACTTGGAATCTTGATTTGGAGGTTCATAAGCATGCATTCAACTAGTTTAACAAAATTATTTGAGTAGCTGTAATTTTTTTTTTTTGGGTTCCTTACTTGATCTACTTGGCTGCTGCATAAATGCGACTTTTCTTTTTCACTGGTAGCTTTCAGAAATTTTTTAAATTCGTGATCTGGCAAGAGTTTTGAGTCCACCTTGAGACCTCAACAATTTTCAGTTTATTATAATGAAATTTTCTTGAACGAAGATTAATTTCTGCAATGGATATGCATTAAAACCTCAAGTTGTACCTCCTACCAGCTTAATGATTTTTAGGTCGAATCTCTGAGGTTAGTAGAAGGTACGACTGGAGTTTGTAATGCATAACGACAAGTTATAGGGTAACCTCTCCAATTTCTTTAAGGTACTGTATCATGAAAATGGTCGAATGCAGATGCTTCTAGTTTCAAACTAGAGTTCCCATGATCCACACAGGCGACACTTTGGTCAACAGAATACCACTGAATTTTTCATCTGCTCGTGTTGGAGTTAATGTTGGTCTCTTTTCCTGTTTATGTCTTCTTGGATAAAATGCTGTCAAGCTGAGGATTGATATTGTCTGAAAGTTTTTGTGAGTTTTTAGTCTAATCCTTTTGCACTATTGGGTGCATGGTACTTTTATCATTTCCTCTGTTTTGTTTTTTCGCTGCACTAGGATGAAGAGAGAAATTGGTTTAGCATAGTTGGTTTTCGACTTGTCCAAAAGAACCTAACAGGGAAGGTTATGTAGGGCATATTTGTTTTGGCTATAAATGAGCTCTGTCATTGGTTCTTTTCTTTTTATGTATCCCTTCTTTCTTGTTTTCCTTCATAGCCTGTACCTAAAGCATGTTTGGTCTCTTTTTTTTTTTGCCAAAAATTTGTCAAGTGGTTCTAAGTTAAAATGAGAATTGTGTTCATGCTGAAGTTCAGCTGGAGTTGTGTGTTAACTTCTTATTTCATCAAGGCCCTTTGCAAACCACTGATTTAAATGTTGCTGGATCTGATTGAAATAATTTCTGTTTGGTATTGGACAGATATTGAATTTCATCCCGACATTAGGAAACAATTCTGGGATAAAGATCATTGGCCAAAGCATGTCCTTGTCAGATATACATGGTTAGTGTGGATTTTAACAAGTCTTCATTTGACTCATTGGTATTCAATGTGGCGCTAAGCCTGTCTTTTATAGTTTGAGGAGATTGTATGAAGGTTATAATTTTTTGGGTAGAAAATGTTTATTTCTCTGCAAGAAATCGTGCAGTCCACGGCTTACTGTCTGA